GTAAACATCTGAAATATCTGGTTGTGAAGCAAGTGTGACAAATGCATAAAACTGCTTGTCATAAGAAATATCTCTGAGTATATTTGTCATATATAGGGATTGAATGTTTCCATAATAGTAGAGTGTCAGTCTGTAGATCTTATCCAAGACACAGAATAAATGTTAGGAAGCAGATATTTCATGTAGCATCCTTCTGAACTCTGCTCTTCAGTGTTTGCTTGTCAAAAGAAACTGTTTCTAAATTAAAGACATGAAGGTCTCTTGAAAGTTGTGTCCTGGTTTATGACTTTGTTTGTATTCAGCCTTTGCTTTGATAGCCACATTGAGAAGGAGCAAATGAGAAGGCCTTAGCATTTAGGAACACATAAATAAAGGCTCCAAGGAAAGGGCATGAAAGATGCTTTGAAGTGGAGTCCAGTTTTAATTTTAGTGGGAGAAAACCAGATGTGTCTTTGGGAGCTCTAGCCCAGCTCATTTTTCATTTCGAGGACAGGGAGCTCAACCAAATCATACAATGGAGAGACCCCAAACCAAGTGTCCCCACCCTGGTACTTGGATCTTTCTCACCACTTCTTTGAGAACTGTTCTGTTCCAGAGGAGAGATGGGCTTAACCTTTCATTTTCAGCTGTGTGCATTGTCCTGTGCAACTGGATTACACAGCTCTCTCTGCAGTCTCTCCAACTGCAATCGTGTGAGTTTATTTCCTAGCCAATATAAGTGATAAAGATTTCAAAATAGCAAAGCTGGTCAGAATTTGGATTTTGTTGATTTTTGTTTTTTGTGGTGATGTGTGCTAGAACAAAATATTTGTACAAAGTATTTTTGGGTCAGCAGTCCTGTAAACACAAAACCTGCTTGTGTAGGACTTCTTTTGGCAAGTCCTGGAATCATGTGCTCAGTTGCTACTTACAAATGGAAGAATATCTCTGAATGATGTATTTGAGGACATTTTTAGTAGGCCTTGGATCATATTAAGCCAACAAAAAGATTGCTGTTGACTGTACATTTAGTGAGTAGATTAAAGCTACACAACAAGGTTTTTTGAACATGTCTAGAGAATAAGTAAAATAATCCTGTCTTCTGAAGAGATTAAGAGTCTTAAGGGATGGAAAGGAGAAAGAGAGTAGATAAGAAGGCAAATAACATGAGGCAAATTCAAGGTTATTGTCAACTTCTAACCTGAACAAGATAAATCCTTTTGCTTTGAGGGCTTGCCCATGTGCCAGAGCTAAGCTATATGCTAAATGATGCCAGAGCTTGCAGTTTTCAGAGGAAAGGATTGGGAAGAAGTTTAAACATTTTGGAGAAAAGAGGTCAAGTTGAGTTGGTGCTGTTAGGTTGACATCAGTTGTCTTGCACTGAGATAGCTAAAAATGGAACTTGGCCCCATGTGAAGCTGTTTTGGTGTGGTTAGGATTTCGTGTTACTTATTGTTGGTGTGGTTTAGTTTGAGTTTGATTCTTTTCTAGCAGGTACCAAGCCACTACTGGAATCAAGAACAGAATATTACCTCGATAGATAAAGGAACTATGCTTTATTTTGCATTGAAATGCTTATCCCATGTCATCTTAGTCAGCTTTCCAGACCCCAACACATCCTGGTACCAAATATTAATGAGGCACAGTTTGTGCCACATAGAATATGCTCATGAATAGTAATAAAATACACAGGGAATTCTTTCTTTGTCTCTGGTGTTTAGCTTGCCATTAATATGGATGCTAAAACCAGTTACGTCCTTCAGTATAAGTGCAGCAGTGTGTGTGTATAGTTTCCCTGTGCTTCCAAAAACTGTTGAAAGGAAACACTGGAGAGAGAAGGAAGAGGAGTGTTGTTTCCACACACCTCTTAGAGGCTGTATCTCTGCATAAGTAAAGTAACATACTCACTTACAGCTGCCTGTGTCAAAGTGAATTTCTCTTTTCCATGTAATAAAAGTCCAGACACATAAATACGCAGAGTTGAAACTCTGAATTACACATTAGAGTTTGTATAAAATTGAAATTTGAGTTCTCAGTAAAAAAATAAAAAACCAACAGCTTTATTTCCCTTGAGATTTATTGGTGAGATATATATTATTACAGTACAATATATGAAATTCTAAGTGTGTATGTGGAGCTAGAAATTTATGGGTAAGTAAACAACTGTCTAAATTGGATGTTGAAGGTTGTGAATATCAAATTGTAGCTTGGTTTTAATAAAACTCTATTCTGCAAGATCGAGTTGAAAGCAAATGCCTTAACCTACTGTTATGTGGGAGGATTATGACAATAATTATCAAGCTTCTCTACACCTTGTGCAAGTATTTTGAGGAGTCTTGTCAAAATATCAGCTAAATTACTGCCAAAAATGCAATAATTAGATGAGTAATGAAAAAGTTTTCAAATGGAAGTATTGAAGATCTATTCATCCAGTTAGACATATTTACAGTCGTCACACTTAGTTGCACAAGCTGAATTTCCAGTGTTCACTCCTGAGATTTCACTTGTGTCTAAGCTGAAGAGAAAGAAAAGGTTGTTTTGCCTTTGCATTGCTTTTTCAGAAGCAAGTGACTACACAGGTCTAGAAGGAAAGTATTGTATATCCCACGGGAAATTTTTTTATGTCTGCCATATCCTTTTGGCCTTTTTGAGGTAACATCAACCCCCCCTTATACATCTCCACATCAGTGTGAGTAATAAGGAAAACTCTATTTTTTCCAAGAATGTTTTGATGTTTTTTGGAATGCTAACTTCATATATGACTCAAACCTGAAACTCCGTATTCTTGAACAAGTTTGATCAGTGCTTCCTCTCTTTCCTCTCTTCTTTTCCACCCCCTCCCTGCTTTCCCTCCTCATTTTGTATGGCCTCCCCTTCCGAGTCTGTGGCCTCTTTCTGTGTCAGTTTTCACCCAAAACATGGGATGTGCCTCCTCTGTAGTGGTCCTGAGTATCGCTGATCCCTGAGCAGAAGTCCTGACCCACTGATTCCTACACTTCTGGATGTCATCTGACAGCTACCTGTCAAGGCTTAACATGAACAAGACAGCAATGCTTTGGCAAAGCCAAACGAGTGCCAGCTCATCTCCATAGGGTTTCTTTCTCAGTTTGGTGTCAGAGTTTCTGAAATGTCACAGGGAACAAAAAGTAAGTTTTTGAAAATGAAAAGAGGGATCACAAAAATACCAACCCTAGATGCTTCCTCAGGAGTGTTTTGAACTTGAATTCTCTTCAATCTGGGCCATGTTCACTTGAAAGACTCTGTATGACCACAGCAATTAGGAATAGCACAGTCTGTCCTCGGATGGACTCTTTCCTGTCCCCTCTTTGTAATGGAGACATTTCTGCAACAGCAGCTTCCTTAGAAGCTAAACTTAGAATTCTGCTGAATATAGTACAAAGATAAAGCACCAGCATTTGCTAGCTCATTAGTTAAGCTTGGTAACACTGTCCATTTAGGTATTGGTAGATTTTACAGTCCCAGGAAAGAAAGTTCTAAGAATTGGGCTCTCTCTCTAATCTTGCACTCTAGGTTTGTGTGGCTTTATCCATTCATTCACCATGAAAGTAGCATGAGTTTAATATTAGGCTTTTGTTTGGAGGTAACTTTTAATTAGTACAATTGCGAAATGCTATGATCTAAAGGAATATTTTGGGAAAATGTGGGGAATGTTAAGATAGCCTTGCTAAATCCAGGTTGTTTTAAGAAGGAGGAAGGGTGCAAGTTATAACTGTCAGGTGATTGAGTTATCTGGTAGGCAGTAAAGTTAATTACAGGATGGCAGGTAGGTTGGAGTTGGAGGGGACCTCTGGAGATCATCTGGGCATGTAAAGCAGATTGCACTGGGTGGTGTCCAGGCAGGTTTTGAATGTCTTGTCAGAAGGAGAGTCCACAGCCTCTCTGGGCAGCCTGGTCCAGTGCTGTCACCCTGCAAGTAGTTTTTCCTCTTATTCACATGGAACTCTGTTTTGGTTTGTGCCTGTTACCTGTTGCTGGGCACCACTGAGGAGGGTCTGGCCCCATCCTCTTGGCATTGGTAAGATTCCTTCTCAGTCATCTCTTCTCCAGGCTGAACAGCCCCAGCTCCCTCAGTCTTTCTTTACAGGAGACGTGTTCCAGGCCCCAAATCATCTCCTTATCCCTATGCTGATCCCTCTTCAGTAGTTCCTTGTCTTTCTTGAACTGGGGAGCCCAGAACTGGACAATTCCCCTCCTTCCCTTCCTCCCCCTCAGAGGCTGGAGGGTGCAAGTCCACACATTTCTTTCTTGAGTGGCAGCAGCTGAATGTTGAACGTTAGCAATTTCTTCTCAACTGTGGGAACTGCTGTGATCTGACAGCACCTGCAGTTCAGGGAGAAGAGGTACTGCAAAGTGAGCATTTCTGTGCTGCTGAGGGTGAAGCCCTGAGCTGTCACTCGAAGGTACTCCTGGGATCTCTGCAGGGGAGCAGCACTCGGAATTGGAAAGTCACCTGCAAGAGTAGAACTGTGATTGCAGCACATCACTCTCCTTCCAGCACTGAATATTTATGTCTAGTATCAGAAATAGTATCTTCATGTTCTAAGGAAGAAGACAGTTGCCTTTACAGGGTAATACTCTATTCTTACGGAACAGTTATGTATGTCTTATGTTTAACTTATCCCTGTCGAGCTGAAATGCTGTTCATGAATACATAAAGACATAGCTGAAGTGAATTATCTGTGGTCATATATGAACTAGTAACACATTTACTGGTCGAGTTTTTAAAATTCAAAACCATTACTAACCCACTGTCAATATTTTCCATCTCTTTCCAGAGTATTAATGGATATTCTTTAATACTTGTCCTCATCCTTTTTATTAGTTTATATATACGTAAACACACACGTGTTTGTGTTTTTGAATACAATATATGTCATAATGAAATATTCAGCATTGTTTTCACTGTACTGATATATTATGTACTAGATTTACAAACTTCAGCTGGAAAATCAAGCATTATTGCCTAATATTTTTCTTTATCTCTCTTTCACAGTCATAATGAACGAAAAGTGACCTGCAAACATCCAGTAACAGGACAGCCATCGCAGGACAACTGTATTTTTGTTGTGAATGAACAGTAAGTACTGTCTGTTTCACCCTATAAAATACATGTTTTAAACCCTCTTAATATTGAAGTAAGAGTCAGTGATTGCTAATCGCAATATTTATTTTTCCCAAGTCAGATCAGCATGTATATAGTTTTACTCGTTTAAATTGCTTGCAAGTAATATTAAGTATTGAATACTTGATTTTAAGATAAAAACCATGGCCCAGGTTAGTTGTGTGATAGAAATGTGCAGTGTTTCTGCACTGTGTAAATTGCCACTTGTCACTTATTCTGTAGTTTTGGCAAATGACCAAATTCCTGTATTATATAGTAATGAAATAAACTTCCATAAAGGAATAAGTGTGTTAATCACTTGGGGACAATCATGTGTTGTTAATCTATACTGTTTTGCCTGATAATTTCTTCTCCATTGAGTTTCTTGGCCAGTTGGGCACTTTCTGAGCCATTGGATAATAACTTGGATTTGCTGTCTTTACATTACTTTTGTAGAATACACCACAGTGTGAGAAGGTATGCATGGAAGTCATACCTGACCTCAAGGTTTTATGTGTGGTTGGGTTTTGGGTGTCCTACTCACCATCAGAAAACCATCAGAACTGCAGTATGTCAAATTTCCCCAACCTGCATGTTCTCACCAAAGTGGGGCAAAGCCAATAGGGTCTTTAGACAGCATTTCTTCCCATTTTCATCCCATACTCACACCTGTCTTTTTCCCTCCCACCAACACCTTATTCTGAGAGAAATCCTATTTTAAACATCTTTAAATTCAGCTTTAATAGATTGGAGTCTAAAACACAGTGCAGGTAACTTCACAATGAAGTGTGAATTGCTTCCAAATTGGAAAAGTAGGGCACAGGCTGTGCTAGGCTACATCTAGGGGTGCTTTTTATTAGCAGTCTGCACACACAGCATGTTCTAGTGCTATTACATATTCTATTTTCAGGACTGCTGCAGCAATGACATCTGAAGAGAAGAAGGAGCGACCAATAAGCATGATATGTGAAGCAACTAACTATAATCTGACATCAGATTATGCTGCTCATCCAATGAGCCCTGTGGGCAGAGTAAGTCTTTATGTCTAACTAAAATTGGAATTAAAATCATTCAGTTGTTCCACAAGGTACTAGACAGTGTTATATTAGCATCACACTGAAAAAGAGAAACAAAGGATATCCCTTTCAGGGCTCTTGACTCCTTTCATTTTTAATTTGGAAGCTGAAGTGCCTGAAACAGATTATCACTGTAGCTGTAATTTTTATCAAATATCTTAGCTCTTATGACTTGCAAGTACTTAAATTGTTTACAGAATCTGACCTTTCTATCTGTGTGAATAGCAAAACATTGAGTGACTGTTGAGGTATCTGGGTAAGCATTGTTCCAGAAATTGCTCCAGCACCACCAATTGACTGGATTTCTCCAGGCAGAACAGAGAGAATCATGGTTGTGTGTTAGAAGTAGTTATAAGAGAGGTGGAAGGTGACCCTGTGGTAAACAGCAGATGACATGATTTGCTGTCATTAGACCAGAAGTTCTGGAAACTGTCTTGGAGATGACTAGGTCACCTTAATTTGTGTCTTCTCTATTCACACAGCTTCTCAAGAGGTTAAGGTAAATGCCCAGATGTTTTTATCAACTTCTAGCTTAATTGGACAAAGCTGATGGAAGCTATTTTATGCATTTCTTTCCCATTTTTTGGATATCTTTCCTTAAAGGAAAGTGCACTTGCTACGAAATGAAGAATTCCCTGAAGTTTTCTAGGCAGCCAAGGTAACTTTGGTCAGTGGTGACAGACAAGAACTCTGTCATCTCTTCCACCCAGCAGTTAACATTTAAACAAAGGGGAAACCAAACAACATACTTTTGCTGCTCATTGAAAACTTTAACCCTGAGAAGTGTTTTTTGGGCAAATTAATCCAACCTGCAAGAGAAATAGAAACTTTGGGATGTGTTTTAACAGACCAAATTCCTTAATCTCAGAAACTTGGATTGAGATAATTTATTTCCCATGTGATAGGAAACAGTAAGGTTTCATTAAGGGCATTTTGGAAACATTTTTGGTGTTTTAAATGTCTGATGAGACAGGTGGAAGCCTTGGCCTACATTAGAAAACTGTTATTTAATGAGCAAAGTGTCTTCATCTGTTAATGTTGCTGGAGGGAAAAATAAAGAGTCTCAGATGTATTGCAAACAGTAACAAAATCCATCTCAAATTTATGTTGAAGTCCATGCAGGAAAGGCAGTTTAAACCAAAATAGACTAGAAAACCCCCAAACTACAACAAAAGCCAAACACAGCTAAGCCTGAAAACAACCAAGCAAACAAAAAAACCCCAAGATAACTCATTGTTAGAGTTGTAATAGTGATGTAGATTGCAATGGTTACACAGAAATTTCAACAGAACTAGCTAGGAGGTGCTCTCAGGTTCAATTCCAGAAAGGAATGACAATTTAAGAGCACATGTTTTACAACCATATTTTTCACACTCTTCTTTCAAAAGAGAAGTTGAAAAGACCTTTTAGCATATTTGTTTCACAGTGTTCTAGAAGGAAATTGAGATTTCTATGGCCCAGTTACTGTGATTTCTTTACTTTCATGGATTATTGACACTCTAGCATCCTGTGGAAATTATTACAGCTTGAAAAAATAGGCTTTTGTTCTGCTTTTCATTCCTCCTGTTCTAGTTATTTAAATGCACTTAAAATATTAATATGATTCTTGAGGCTGTATGGACAGTTACATCAGATTTCAAATGTGAATTTGTCTGCATTATTGCCACAGCATTTTAAAATTGCTGTTTTGAGGAGGTGAATGCTGGCAAAGTAGAACCACAGCTAAAATTGCTCAACATTTTCTGGTGTTATTTAAGGCTAATTAGTTGAATCATTTTTAAAGATAACTGTATAGAAATTGTCCATGGGTTGTACCTGGATACAAAACTGTTTTTCTTCTGAAAATCCTGAAATTCTTAGCTGTTTTAGCATCTTTGCATATAATATATAGAAAATCAGTGTATTGCAGCACAATAAAATAGGAATAAAATGCTGGTGAGGAAAGTAAATTAGGAAGGAGAACACTTCATATGGTTGCCACACAAATTCTTTAGGTGTTTCTGTTTTCAGAGAGAACTCATGAGCACACCTAATATTGGAAAGTAGTGAGGGATGGCAGAAAGGTTTGTGGTATAGCTAAAGTTTCAGACAGTTGAGGTGTATAGAAGTTGGTTAGTTAATGGTTGGACTTGATGTTCTTAGAGGTCTCCTCCAACCATGATGATTCTATGATTCTAAGTTCTTCCTTTCCTCAATATTAATTGATCCCAAATAGATGTGGGACTTGAAGTTTCTAGTCTGTGGCAGAAAGATTCTGCTGCTGCCCAGAGGCTAATATGAGGTGAGGCAAAAATCAGTGTTTCCCCAGTAAAAGCCTCCTTTCCCACCATGTCCATGATTCTGCCAAATAACAGCTCTGTTAAGTGCTGCTTCTTCCCTCCTAGCTTTAAATATATTTCTGAACTTGAAGCTGCTAGCACTGACCTCTGACTGCAAACAAGATCTACATAGTAGGCTTGAGATTGCTCCAGGAGTATATACTTGCACCTGTCTTTTTAGAAAATTAAGAAATTGGTTTTGTAGGGTCTTTATTTTATTTTTTCTCCTACTGTTAAAATCACTATCTAGACAAATAGGATTAGGTGTCCTGAAATGCATTCAGCTTTTTAATGTAGGAAGTCAGTCGTATTACTGCTGGCACTCCACAGTTCATCTCCTGTGCTCTTCATTGCTGTCCTGCTTATCAACAGAGTAAGGCTAACCATTTTCCCCACAGTAAGTGCAGTGTTAGCCCAGGACAGCTGCTGCAGAGCTCCTGGTGACTCCATCACAGCGAGGATGTATCACAGTGTTTATAAATATTAATCAATTTGTGTACAGATATTTTCATACAGTGCTCAAGCCAGTCCAGCTTGAAATGATTTGTTTAGGCATAGCCATACATCTTCTCAGGATTCAGGTTAGCTGGAAATCTTGGAGCAATAGTCCTGAGGCACATTAGCAAACAGCACAGTAAACAGGAGCAGCTTGAAGGGCAGTGCTGGTGCTCAGGGCTGAACATCTGTACTGTGTTTGTGGTTTATATTCAGACTAGCCTAGCAGTGTTCCCTGTGCATCTTACATTTTAGTCTTACCGAAATGGAATCCAGTTTGCTTTATTATGCAAACCAAAGCACAGTAAGAGTGAATGATTGGAAGGTTTGCTTCAAGAACAATCTCCTGGCCCAAGCTCAAATGCTGAGGCAGAAACCCACTGAGCTCATGGGAAACTGCAACATTCAAAGGCACTGGAATTGCCTACAAAATCCGGGAGGCAGCATCATGTTGCTTTGTGGTTTGGAAGATAATGTAAGCCTTGAAGTCTGGAAACATATTTTTAAACAGAAGTTGAAAACTAGATTGCCATTCTCTGAGTTTACATGCAGAACGTTTCCTGATTAGCAAGGTTCTCAACCCATGTTTCTCAAATATAGACACAAGTTTAATGTTAGTTAATTGGTTTTGTGCTAGTTGTGAAACTGGGGATGAAGCTTCCCATAAATGCTGTGTCCTTCACCAGCTCAGCAGAGAGAGAAGCAGCTTGCAGAGTGACAAAGTGTGCAGCCCCAGCTGCTGACTGCTCTGCTGCCCACAGCTCAAAACTCTGCTGGGGTTTGGTTTTTCAATTTTGGGAAAGAATGAGTATCCCTGGCTGAAGTTCCTGGCTTCTCTCTCAGTACTGGCTTGGTACAGGGTCCCTCCTGTAGGTTCTGGTTTTGGAGACACCACAGTTGCTGGCCCATGCCTTAGAATGGATCAGATGGTACCAGATATGACTATTTTTGCTCTGTTACCTGCTACACCTTCCAGCAACTGCTTGGTAGTTGGATCATTCATTCACTACCCTTCTTTTCTCTTCTCCAGAAGCTGGAGATGTGCAATATGTCCTATATTTTTAGTGCTGTGGGGTAAAAAGTACTTGAACCCTTCAATTCTTGTTTATTTTCCCATCTTCCTGTGTCCACATTTTGAGATAATTAGATATGTGTGAGGGAGCAGGAGCTGGCCAGGGATCCCAGGCAAAACAAGAGGAGGAGATGATCTAAAAAGTCTGAGAACTCATAATTAGTTTATATATGCACCTACAGTATTTCAAGATCCTAAAATACTCATTGTCTTGAGCTCAGAATTTGTTGTGAACAGTTATTCCCTTTAAGCAGTGTGTGGTAAAATAATCACGAGGCCTCTAAAGTGGTCTTTGTCTTAACTAAAATTAGAAAGCACTTGTGATGCTGCATTTAATTAAAGGAAGTTTGTATTCACAGCTAGGAGGATGTAACCCATTAAAACTTTGCTGTTAGCTCAGTGAAATTGGAGTCAATAAGGTTTTTTATCAGACCTACCTTGGAGAGAGCTATCTAAATTATCTGCATTTGTCAGCAGACTTGACATTAGTAGTACTTGTGGTGAGTTGTGTTTTCAGAAGCATCTTTAATGCGTTAGCTATTTTTACAAGTATAGGAGTTCTGGAACACTCTTGAGAGGTTTTGAACCTTTAATACCTAATATTAGAGCAAGAATGAGTGTTTTAAATCATTTCTGATCAAAGTGTTGGCCCAGCTCTTGTGCAATAGGCCAATATATTAGTCACACAGGTTAACTGAGAGATGTAGTTCACTTCATAGCTGGATTGTTACAGGTTATTCTGGATGTTCCTTTTTCACAGCTGGATGTCATAATTCTCTTGGCTTCTTACAAACCTTTGTCCATTTTGCACTGGTAAAATTGTTCAGATGAAAATATGGAAGTTATAGACTTTTATTCTTAATTAGGTTTTCAATTGCTTGTTCTATCTTGCTTTGCAGAGATCAGTCAGATTTCTGTATCTCCAAGGGAAATTAAAAGCATTCTGATTGTTTTTATATTCCCTCGTGATTCTTGCAAAAAAAGCATCGCAGCATTGTGTTGTAGACTTTAGACAAACACACAGAGTTTTTGTGATGTTACTCTTTCTTGGCCAAGCAGTGTTGTATCCTTCAGTTTATGGCATCATTGGCAAAAGCTGCACATAATTTTAAATTAATTTTTCAGTTTATGATTTTTAACCTGCTGTGGAATTCTCTCTGAAGCATGATCCTTGATGGGAGAAACCCCATACCCTGACTTGCAACAAAGCCTGAGTGTTTGTTTAGCATTCCTCCTTCAGGAATTTTGCATAACCTTGTGATTAGTCTCAGTAGTAGAGATAAGGAAGCTGAAACACGGGATTATATTGTCTCTATTCAAACGGTGGATTTGAAGCAGAGCTGTGAATACAGCTTAAAAAACTGGCTTGAATTTGATGTCTTTTGCTGTCTCACATCTCCTGGTCTCTGAGGCACCAATTCTTACAGAATTTAAACCACAAGTAAATGTTCAGCTCATTTAGTTGCAGAACAAACTTTCTCAATGTAGGCTGTGAAGAATGAAGTGTGAATTGGCAAAGCACTGCACGTTTCTTTATGCCTTTTCCAATTTCTTTTGGTTACTCAAGTAGAAGGATAAAATCTAAAATGGGTTATATTTCCTTCTTCTCTTAATCATACATGATTGCAAGGTTGTAAAAGGTAGAAGCAACAGCAGATATAAACACTGGAGTTTCAGGGCAAAAGTTTCTAAGTAGATCTTAGTTGTAAGTAGGTAAAATAATGAGTATTCAACCAAGCAAGAGATGACAGAGCAAAGGGTTCTTGAGAGAAAAGAAAGAATAAAAAACATTTGTATACGTTAGGAAAATGGGAGTTTGTATCTTGTTGAAATCTGAACGAGTTTTCCTGTATTAGGTCAGTGTTAGAAAGAGTAGAATTTTCTTGCCCAGGTGATGTAATTTTCCATAATTACTCATAGTTCTGGGAGTTACTTCTCTTTCTACAGACTTTATAAGAAACTCAGCTATGTGTTTGGTGAGGGTTTTTCTTATTATATAAAAAAATCTTTAAGTGCTTGTCTTGGGATTTGTCTTTACATTTTCTGCAGAAGAAAGAAAGAAATGCTGAAAGCAGCAGAAGCATCACAATAATTATTTCTCTATAAAAGGAATACAGTTTGTGTTCTGTAGTCCCCCAGAGGAACCCAGATAAGAAAAAGTTCTTAAAATGTGTTATGATTTTTCAGCAGATATTGGTGTTATGGTTTCTTTAACCTGTTCTGTTCAATTTAGACATCACGATCGTCAAAGAAGGTTCATAACTTTGGGAAGAGATCAAACTCCATCAAGAGAAACCCTAATGCCCCAGTTGTCAGACGTGGTTGGCTCTACAAACAGGTACTTTTCTGCTCTTCACCCCCTCCTGTGTTTTCTCTAAGGTGTGAAATGTGCAGAAGACAATAATTTGTGTACAATACAATGATAACAATACCAGAGTGGAGCTGTAACTGTGAAGAATTGATGTTGTTTTCAATTAATTGGCTGCTTATTGGATATCATTTTGATACAAATAAGGACATCAGACAAGTAGAGAATGTAGATGTTATTGTAGTATTAGTATATATTATATGCACATGATTCTCTAAAATATACAGAGGGCCTGAAAAATCTAGGCAAATGTTGGTAGGAAATAGCTACTTTAATTTCAGGCATGCTGAGATGATGGAACAAGGCTGCATGGCCCAGAATATTGAGGGTTTTTTTAAAGTTCCCTTTGTTAGGCTAGAGCTCTAATATTTTTTTCATATGAAATTGGACATTAAGCCTTTTTTTTCGCATATTCACATAGCCATGCCTATTTTCTTAGCTCAAAGATAATAATCTTAAAACCAGAGATAATTTTAGGTTTTTTTATTGAATGTAAGCTGACCTGAAGTATGTGCTCTTTAGTATTTAGTACCAGAGATTTGCTGTTCTGCAGTAGCAGATCACTAGCACTTTATTGCTTTGCTGGAATTCAGAATAGTTTGATCCAAAAAAATGAACAACAAACCTGATCCAGGCCATATTGGGAATATATTTTTAAAATCCACTGAGAACCCTGTAGGAACTTGTAGTTTAAACTCAGCTGAGACAAATGTGTAGATGTAATTTTTATCCACATTGTCATTTACTCTGCCTACTCAGATAGACTGGAATGACCTGCATAGCTTTCTGGATGCTGTTGATGAGTCACTTTTTAAAAAAATACTCTCAGATAATATCTAGAAGTATCTATTCAGTGGAAGATTTTTCCATGTTTTAGACAATCCTGTGACTTTACTCTCAGTCAATGCTGAGAGTGAAAAATTCTCACAAAGGTGAGAGATTTTGCTGCTTTGTTTTGAGGCTATTAAACTTTTTAGTTTGAAAAAAGTCACTCAATTCCTAAAGTAATGTTTTCTGGATATATTTTAAGATCACAGAATCACATGGCTGTTATGGTTGGAAGGGACCTCGTGATGATCTAGCAGAACTTCCTCTGCCCAAGGAGGCTCAGCTAGAGCAGGTTGAGCATTCTCACAGGAAAAAAGTTTAGCTCTGCTCAGGTGGAATTTCATGTTTCTTCATTTGTGCCTGTTGCTTCTTTTCCTGTCACTGGCAAGACTTTGGCTCCACCTTCTTTACACTCTTACACTCTTTACACACACTGATAAGATGCCCTCTGAGCTGCCCTCTCTCCAGGCTGAGTGGTCCCAGCTCTCTCAGCCTCTTTTCATATGAAAGATGCTCCAATCCATGTTTATGGACCCATTTATTTATTATTATTTATCCATTACCTGTTCATGCAATCACAGAGAATGGCAGTCTTTGTCTGGCTCAGCACATGCTGTCTCAATGCATGTAATGATACTGCTCTGTCATTTTTCTACTAATTTTTAAGTCCAGAGCCAACTCTTTTTTTTTTTCTTTTAAAGTGTTTCTTTTAAAGTGCTACGAACATAGTGGTGCCCCATTATGACATAATCAAGAGGAAACAATAATTACTAAATCCACTGATACTAGTTCAAAGTAGGAAGTAATTTAAGTTGTGGCAACCACACGGTTGTTTTTGTGCCTCTCTGCTATGGCTGAAGAAGGCTGAAAGATCATTCCTAACATGTCTCATTGCTGGCAAAATTTTACATGTGGCTGTGTAGAAACCTGTCAGTGTTTTGGAGTGACAGGATAAATGTCATGTTGCATAATAACCTCCTCAGAAAGTCTGTCCCAGGGTTTGTGATAGTCCTCTACACTGCCGAAATTTGAACATTTTCACATTGTACAATTCATTTTTGTGGCCAGTGTCCTTTAGGCCAGGGGTCCAGCATCCTGCTACTGAGTCAGTGACTGTGTTAGGGATGGGAGAAAAGCAGTTTCCCTTCCTCCTGTTTGCCTTTCCAGCTGTGAAATAGGAGCTGTCTGCTATGGGCAGTGCTTCCAGACTCCATTAGTGTTTGTTAAACCACTTCTGAGGTCCTCAGAAGGAAGGTGCTAAAAAGTGTTTAGTTATTCTGTTCATGAAAATGTTTGTGGCAAAGGAGTTTAACTTTCTCTGAATAGTATTTCCTAGCTAATGCTTGCTTTACCCTTTCTTCTTCTTTCAGCTCATTTCTTCCACCCCACAAAGAGCAGAGCTTGAAATATGAGGCTAAAAATGATGCTGACTTTTCTTGTGTGTGGAGACACCAACCCCAAAAACAACCCCACACCATCCCACAGTATTTAATTATAGAATCCCTCTTGGTTTTCACAAAATCTGTTTACTACAAGAATACTGATAATTCACCCATACTTTTCTCCTCAGAGCAGATTATCATATTTATTAAGTGTGATTCTGAGGATGTCTGTGCTGCAGTGCCCTGGCTCATTTACACTGCAGTAGTGGTGGCAGTCTTTCATTCTGAGTTGTGCAGTGTAAATTTGTTGTAAGCATAAAAGAAAATGATATTGCTTTAGGAATAACCTTTATTTGGGAAAGAAATTGGCTCTGGATATATGAGTGGTAGCAGAAGATGAAGTTCAGCAGAGAGTTTCTTTAGAAAAGAAAGGAGGATGTACCCCAAGTATTACTTTACTCTTCAAAAAAAAACCCCAAACTATATAGCTTTTTTGTGGTTAATTGTAGTTTGTAGTCTCTAGCTAACATGCCTGGAGAAAAGGAGGCTCAGGGAGGACCTTCTTGCTCTCTACAGCTACCTGAGAGAAGGTTGTAGTAAGGTGAACACTGGTTTCTTCTCCCAGGTGACAAGTGACAGGACAAGAGAAAATGGCCTCAAGTTGTGCCAGGGGAGATTTAGGTTGGATATTAAATAAAATCTCTTCACCAAAAGGGCTATCATGCTCTGGCACAGGCTGCTCAGGGAAGTGGTTGGGTCACCAACCCTGAAGGTGTAATTAGATGTGTCAATGCAGCACTTGAGGACATGGTTTAGTGGCAGACTTGGCAGTGCTGGGTAAGAGTTGGGCTCGATAACCTTAATGTTCTTTTCCACCTTAAGCAAGTCCATGATCCTCTGATAAATTCAGCCTTCCTGGGGAATGATCTTTGCAGTGACAAGTTGTGATGAGAAGTCAAAGATACCTAAAATAGCCAAGAAAATGAGCTACTAGCACACAGTTGTGTAGTACCTGGTTTACCTTATGGACAATTGCTGTCAACAGTCTGAAAGTTCTTACTTGATCCCTTTGATTAATGCAGGATAGTACTGGAATGAAGCTGTGGAAGAAGCGCTGGTTTGTGCTCTCAGATCTGTGTCTCTTCTATTACAGAGGTAAGTTCCACTCCTGAGAGCTTTGCTTGCTAATTTTACTGGAAACAGATAAATTTCAACACACCACTCAAATGTAAGAAATAAGAAGCTGTTGCTTAATGCATTAAAATAGTTTTATAGCTGTTAAAATCCAGATCTGCTACTTTTATCTATTTTTTCTTTCTTAATTACCAATTTCACAGAATTGCTTCCTGCCTGTCAGGGTATGCTCAAAAGCCAAACCGATTCACAGACACTTCTGGTATTAAATTCTGGGTTGTAGTTTTATCACAACTTCTGTTGCTGGAAACTAAGTACATAAGGTTAAATCTGAGTTTTCATGCAAATGAAGTAACTGAATGGGGATAGGGAAGGGATAGTGCAGGGGAGCTGGAACTCTGCCTTTGGAATGATAAAGAGGATATATATGCCTTTGGGAGCTCTAATCAGTGTGCATGAATACTTATAAAGTGAAATGCTGTCCAATTCCATATGAGTAGAAGTCTCTGCTGTATTTGGAACAAAGGAATCTGTTAGTAACTTTATGTAGCTACATCAGACTTATTTTACATGGGAAAAATTAGCTGCTTGTAATTCTGGTCTTGGAGTCATGTGTGTTAGGAAACAGATTCCTTCACCATTACAGATTATTAACTGTAGTACTCCTGAGGGGATAAACAAATGGGATTTGTGCACATGGAAACATACTCAGTCCTGAAATAAAGTGTCCAACCATATTAGTTTAAAGCAGGCTAAGAGTGAAGAGGGCTGTAAAGAATGACAAAATAGAGGAACATAAACAGTTAAGTTAAACTGCAGGTGAAGGATAAGAAAGGGTTTCAGGTTAGGATGAGGCTTAAGAATTGGAAGAAATGGTGTTGATGCTGGTGATGCTGAGAGCAGTGACTGAAGAATTTAAAGTGCTGAAATACATTCATTAGGCTTCGTTTCTTTACCCTGAGAAGTTTACATAGTTGGATAAACCACTGCTGAGCCAAAATGGGGTTATAATTTCAGTCGTGGAGGCATCAACTGTGATAGTGTAAATACACTCTGTGTATTTAAGTGCTCGTTATGTACTTTATACTTTCTTATAGGGTTTTCTGATTTTTAAAGTGTTTACATGATAAATTAAGCTTTTAGCTATGACTCACTAGAAAGTAATTAAAGTGGTTAACTGTAATTAAACACGTAGTGATAGTCTAAAAGGTATTAGAAATGGCTGCTAAAATGTAAACAAGTTTCACTCTAAACCCTGTGCTTTTGTTTCTGCTAGTTCTGCCTCAGACATTGAAAATATAGAAAGAGGGAAGGCATGCACCTGCTCCCAGATGGCAAATCTTGTTTCTGGTTGTTGGGGTTCTTTGATTCTGTTAGTAAATCTTGTTGAACTTCTCCAATTGTGTTACAATGTTAGCAGTTTAAATATAATTTATAGATAAAACCAAAAATCATGTCATTGTGTTTTTTTCAGAGCATAGAGAATAGCCTTTTTCATTCAGAGGGGTGAAAGATTGTCTGCTTTCACATCAGAAGGTTATTGTTGCCACAAATAAAAGTTCTTAGAGCTGGCCAGTAGATCTGCTATTTTCCTCTTGTACGTACAGAGCACACAAGTAAAGATTTCATGTGTAGATAAAAGCAAGTCTGACTGGAAACACATTGTTAAAATCTGGCCATGGAATGTAGTAGTATGTCTTTAACAAAGACCAAAGTCTTCCAGACAGGCAACTGTTCAGTGGAACAAAAAATGCTTAATGCTTTTTTTTGCCACTACTGAGTGTGACTTAGTCATAAGTCAAAATATAATCTAGCAGAAGAGAAGAATTTTTCCTCGAAATGAAGTAAACCCCAATATTTACCATGTGTTCTGGGACAGGGCAAATTGGGCAGATCTTGTGTGTGTGTGTGTGTGGCTAGCAAGGAGTAAGTATTTGAGAGGGGAAGGTGAGATGGTTTCTGACATACTTCCGAGTGTGGTTGAGTATCCGAAAGCAAATCCACTCTTATTTCTGCCTTTTAATCAGAATAATTTTATACTCAGCTCTCCAATTAATTAGCTATCCCAGAAAGCAGAATTTTTACATCTAATCCATCATGTAATACTAAGAGGGTTGGGCAGAGCTTTCCCCATCTGAATAACTTAAATGAAGGCTGTGGCTTTTCAAAATGTAGTGGGTAAATGAGAACCAGGAAAAGGTTTTTAAATCCACACCTAACAGATAGTCCTTTTGTGCTGTTTGCATGTATTTAATTGTAACAATGTTAATTTTTCATGCTTGAAATTTTGGAATACCTATATTTTCATCTTAATTTCAGAGATACAGTCATTTATTGTGGGCATTATCTTCAGCTGAGAGAAGTGTTATATGGGGGACAGTGTCTGAGATGGTGGTTGTGAATAGAAGTGCTGTACATGAAATACAATTAAGACTGACTTTGTGAATTGCATCCAGTTATTCCTTTATTAATGCATAATTGGGTTAAAAAGCTGATGTGGCTTCCAGTTAAAATGTCGATTTATTATTGTAATGTATCATTCTATAATGTAAAACAAGGTTCTGGGAAAAGGGTGTTTGGGGGGAGAGTTTGTGTTTTACAAATTATCTGAAACATGCATTCTTACAAGTGGAATGTAATAGAGGGTAAATTCTTTGTGGGAATTATAAAGGGAATTGTAATTAATAATTAAATATGGTAATGGGAATTATGTAGCATAACATGCCTGAGATCAGAAGAAGAATGTGCAAATTTTCTCAAAGGTCAGCAATCAGTGGGGTTTATCAAAAGGGGTGTGGCCAGCAGGTTGAGGGATGTGATTCTCCCCCTCTGCTCTTGTGAGGCCCCGTGGAGTAGTGTGTACAGTTCTGGTGTCCCCAGAACAAGGAGGACATGGAACTGTTGGAGCAAGTCTGGAGGAGGCCATGAAGCTGATAAGGGGACTGGAGCATGTCCTTTATGAGGACAGGCTGAGAAAGTTGAGGCTGTTCAGCCTGGAGAAGGTTGTGTGGAGACCTCATAGCAACCTTCCAGGAACTGAAAGGAGGACGGAGAGGGACTGACTCTTTGTTAGGAACTGTAGTGACAGGACAAGGAGTAATGGGGATAAATTGAAAGAGGGGAAATGTAGATATTAGGCAAAAGTTTTTTCTTGTGATGGTGTTGAGACAGTGGCACAGGTTGCCCAGGGAGGCTGTGGCTGCCCCAACCCTGGCAGTGTTCAAGGCCAGGCTGGGTAAAGCCTTGAGCAACCTGCTCTGGTGGGAGGTGTCCCTGCCCAGGGCAGGGGTTGGGACTGGATGATCTCAAAGGTCCATTCCAACCCCTTAACCTTCTCTGAATCTTGAAGCAGTGTTTTAAAATACTTGTGCTGTCATAGGTTTTTGCAGTTTTTACTGAGCCAGGCAGTACCTAACAGGTATTGATCTTGTCACTGAATTAGAGGTTTGACTTCCGTCTGCTCTTCAGTTCTGAAGTCGTAGGCAGGTAAGCACTGATCCCCAGGAAAACTCTAGGCTTAGCTCTTTGTGATGTTCTCCATAAGTCAGGCTCCCCGAGGGAGTTCACATGAACCTTGTACAGAACTGCACACTCAGGAGGGACCTTTATGCTCGTCCACCTTGGGGATGAGTCGTAGGAGGATGTTTTCAGAGGCCAGAGATTTCACGGTGCTTAGCAGGTTTTTGGGGTCTCCCACTTTTGTGGTGTGGGTGGAGAGGAGCTGCACAGCTGCTCTTGGGGAGTGCACACTGGTGGGACTGTGCACAGACACCTGTGACACATCCCTGTGGCTTTCTGAGTCCCCAAGGCTTTTCCTTCTGAAGTAAACTAATGGTCTAGTGTGGTTAAAGACTGAAGGGTCTGAATACTAATGCTGAGTGTCAAAATGCTATTTCTCTAATCCAAGACTGTGCATTCACAGATGAGAAAGAAGAAGGAATACTGGGGAGCATACTCCTGCCTAGTTTTCAGATATCTATGCTATCTGCTGAGGACCATATTAACCGCAAATATGCCTTTAAGGTAAGGGAATCCATTTTTCAGTTGGATTTTATGCCTGAAAACACAACAGCCTTGTGAGAAGAACTCATTTTACAGAGTTATTATCCAAAACAGGATTGACAAACAGATTCTGAGACTGATTTTTGCATAATATAGTAGCAGAAGTTTCAATTATTTAGCCTGATGTAAATATAGACATAATTACTGGAATAGGACATCAGTTGTTATTAGTATTTTATTTTTAGTTCATGGATCTTAAATATAAACCATGATGGTTTAGAATTGTAGACCAGCATCTGCAGCTGGACTTACCCCACTAATGAAAGGTTTAGTTATTTGGATACAAAGTGTCTTTGCACATAAATAAAAATAAGGGCTTATTATCACTGAAGTCACAATATTACATGAATATTAGGAGTGTTTCACAGCCAGTCTTTTTAGTCATGATGTAAATTACTCTACTAAATATTTTCTCCTGACTTTTCTTCTTGTTGTTTTATGAGCTCCTTTTGGCTCTTCGTTTGGTCTCCTAACCAACACATCATTTATTTACTATGGTAAGTACAAAGTAGAACTTACTGTATCATTAAGATTTCTGAATTCTATGCCAAAATCTGAATTGTAATAATTCTATCCATTTACATTAATGGATGGTCAAAGTTTTTAATAGACTGAAGAAATTTAAGGGGTTTTTCTTTAATGTATTAATGAAGAAGCAGCTATGATTGAAAATTACAGGCCATTACTTTGAAAATATGAATTCAGTGGTGGAGAAACATTGCAATATTCCTTTTGATGTTTTTCCTGTTTAATATTATTTGTAAAAATCTTATTATATAAAGCATTAGAGTGACTATGCAGTAACATTATTTGCCTCTTTTCTTTTGCAGAATCTTATATTTTTATTGCAATGACCATGTCATTTCCAATCAGGCAGCTCATCCAAACATGAGGACCTATTATTTCTGCACAGATACAGGGAAGGAAATGGAGTTGTGGATGAAAGCCATGATAGATGCAGCACTTGTGCAGACAGAGCCTGTGAAAAGGTAGCGTGGACTAAAACAGTGGAACAATGTATTGCTTTCTCTTCTGTAGTTTAATTTATTTAATGAAAAGGTGTTCCATAAAATAGAATGTAAATGGGCTGAAGGAATTTTTCTCTATATTGAAGATCTCTTACTGACTTCACAATGTTGGATACAATTTGGAAGTAGTAAAAATAATCTAAGTTCTGTTCTGAATGTTGTTTGTGAGGAACTAGAAGAAAACAAACTTGATTTATTCCTGTAGCCAGTGGCATCCAAAGAAGTGCAATGACAAATACTGTGTGCAGGCATGTTTGACTTCCCCTGCCCTCCTGACTGAATAGCAACAGCAGCTCAACTGGTGGTAGCCTTTGGCTTAAACCTGTCATAAGCCTCAAATTCACAACTGTAGTTTGTGGTTCAATTAAATGGCTGTACCTATGGGCAACCTGTGGGGATCTACTCTTGTCCATCATTGAGCTGTCATCAAATTGAAACTCACCTGATCTGGAGCCTTATCTTTATGTACCCTTGTGTTGACAATGAAAAGCAAGTTCTCAGCGGAAGCTTTGTGTTCTCAGAAGCTGAATATTGTCTGCTGCTGTCTATCCAGGGAGAATCATTTTCCCTCAGAATGTGGTCCCTTGGGTTGGCTCCATGGCATCTGTAATGGAAACCTCATCAAGGGAAGATTTAAAAGCTCCTCGTTATTGATGGCACAGAAGTTATTGCTGATGGCTGCTGTCACTTAATCTATTCTCCACTCTGTTAGTTCCTGCTACCCTGGAGCTAAATGAATGTCAGCAGCGCTGAGAAATCTTCAGTTTAAAAAAGTAGGAAAAAAATAGCATAGATACAGGTACCAGAGAAGCTTAGTGAATAATAAACTTAACCCAAAAATCCATTTTGTATTGCAGATACAATGGTAACTTCCGTATGGAAAAATGATTAAATCAAAACAAATACACTTAACTTGAAACAAAAATTATGTATCATTGTGTAAGCACTTTGTAGGGAGAGTAATACTGAAATGGATCATGCTGAATCTGTTTTGAACTGGGGAAATGACCTTCATTTGGTATGTGCAGTACTGTGAAAACCAAATATTTGAAGAGGAGTAATCATAGAATGGTTTGGGTTGGAAGGGACCTTAAAGATCATCATTCCAAACCCTGACCATGAGCAAGGACACCTTCCACTAGCCCAGGTTGCTCCAAGCCCTGTTCAGCCTGGCCTTGGACACGTCCAGGGATGGAGCAGCCACAGCTGCTCCGGGCAACCTGTGCCAGTGCCTTAGCACCCTTGCAGGGAAGAATTTCTTCCTAATATCCAATCTAAATGTCTTCTCTGTCAGTGTGAAGCCGCTGTAAATAGTCTCTCTCCCTGTTGTCTTTATAGTCTCTCCTGTAATAATAATAGTTATGGAATCCTAGAGTAGTTTAGACTGGAAAGAACCTTTAAAGGTCATCTAGTCCAACCCACAGTGCTCTTTTGGAAGATACTAGTGAACTATAGCCAGATGTGTGTATATGTATAAATGCAGCAGCAATCTGCCTTGCATTGCTTCAGGTGCATATCTTGCTCCTTGGTGAATCAGTGTAGAACACTAAGGGAGGAGAAAAACACTCAGCAGCAAAATCAGAAGGTTTTCTGCCTGGATGTCACAGGCAGAATGGGCTTGCCAAGAGCCAAAACAAGTGTCAGAAAAGCAACTTATGTAACACCATCTTGTTGTTTTAATCCAGGCAAGAAACCTTAGAATGAGACAGATGTAGATGTGACCTCTTTGAAAACTCGGTTAGTAGCCTTGGAATAATTACTTCAGGGAAAATACATTTCAAGACCCAAGTCTCAAAGACTTTTCATGTCTGTTAGCTGTGATAAGGAAGAAAACCCTTCAGACATCTGTTTTCTAAAGAACCCATCTTTTGGCTATCAAACCAATTCTTAAAATGAAACGTAGCAGGATATGATCTTATGCAGAAGAAATACTGTTTCTTCGATGTAAAAATCTGTTAACTATTAAGTGTTTTATTACCTCATCTCCGAGTAACCACAAGTTTGGCATGCATGGAGCTCTAAGCATAAATTATTTTGGTTCAGTCAGATTTAGCCTGTGCTTTTGTTTCTTAGCTCTGTTTTCTTGTTGAAGTTCTAACGTTTTACTGAATGCAGTTTTCTACCAGACTAGATACTTGGCAGTACAATAGATGAGTTAAGAACTTCCCTCCTTAAATATTCATGAAGGCTGATGTTGAGCCACTCTTAAGTGCTTGTTAATATAAAATGCTCAATGATGATAAATCAAGAGTTTTTACAGTGTCTGTCTTTAAATGTGGAAATCAAGGTACTGCTTATGGTACTCTGGAAGCTAAAACTGAGTCTGTTAAACTGAATGTTTAAATAATTTCAGACCTTTAATCTATGTCTTTATTTTTGTGGGGATGTGAGTATCTTGGAGAGAAAAGAGCTATTTAAAGACTTTAGGTAATTTAAGATACTTAAGATAAAACTTAAGATACTTAAAATGTTAAGTTGGAGGAGGGAGGGGTTGACAGTTTCCTATAAACTATTCTTACTTTCCACATCTAGTTGGCCACAAAACCCAGAAATGAGATACTGAGGTGAGAAAATAAAAATGTAAACATTTGTCTTAGAACCAATCTGCATTAACAGCAGAAAAACTCCCTTCTGATGTATAGCTGCAGGCCAGGACAGGTACTGTTTGGTCCTATTGACTTAATTGTAAATACTCCTTTCTAAACACTTGTGATTTTACCTAGAGAGTAAATTCAAGTTTAATAGTGTACTGAGAGACCTATCAAAATAATTAAATACAAAGAATTGAATCAGTAAGGAGCTGTGGAAGCTGATGGCTCAAAATATGATCTCAAACCACCTCTCTGCATCAGCCAAACAACTTATTCCATGTTGTGTCCACAGTTGAGTTGTATCTGAGTGCTGATTACTTGTGTTTGGAGATGCTAATGTACACCATCAGATTGGTTTAGCATTTGTACCCTAAATGCTGATTCCTCTGCTCTCCCATGTTTAAGAGTGTAATTTTTCTATCTTTCACTGTCAGCCTGTGTGCTAGAGCCTTTGTTTCTTCTCAGGGATGCAGGATGTACTAAGAAAAGATTTTTCCTTTCTCCTCCTAGTGCAGTTACTTTCCCTGAACAGCATAAGCTAAGCTGCCAAAAAGGCACTTGTTAGCATAGTGACATCCACAGTGGGGGCTTACTGATGGCACTGTGCTTGGATAAAATGCCTTTTCCTTTTCAAATGCCTCTGCCTGGCTTTGTTAAATCACAGCCTCATGTCCATCTGATGATTAATTACATGCTCCCCGCAACCCTTTCAGAATTATTTTATCTATACAAACCAACATTAACTAGTTCCTTTCCTGCATTACAGTTCCATACATTTTATTACTGTTTGGTGGTAGAAATCTATAAATTGCATTTAAATTCAAAGACCTTTGTTCAATGCTCCTTCTCTTCCTCTTCTTTCTATCCCATCCTCAAACACCCTGCAAGTCTTGCTGTGTGTGTCTTTGAGGGATAGCTATAAATATGGATTTAAATAGACATATGGATTTAGGTTTCTTACATTTGTCTATTAGTTTCTGTTAATTCTTTCCCATTTGGATCCTTTGCTGTGGAAAGAGATCTCTTGCTCACACTGAAGTGTCTGATTTGGTGCACAAAGTTCAAGGAGAGCTCAGAAATTTATTTGACTGTCTGTCATTTGGCCTCTACCCCATGGCAAAGAATATCAGACATAAATGTTTGGCTGTGCTGTGTATAACCATAGTAACAAGTGATGCAGCACAGAGATTGCATGGAAAACCAATTCCATGATTTGGGGGGTGGTTGTTTTTTAATTAAGACAGAGAGTGGAAAGTAGTATGAGAATGTGAAGTGAACACTGTGCCAAGTCTTGACTTGGCCACATGTATGGTGAATATCCTCAGGGCTGCCACTCTCCCTCTGCACCAAGGATTTTCCATCTGTAAATGGCAGCTGTTCCTCTGCTGAGAAGCCCCTTGGGAAAGATTTATACAAAGTGTTAGAGTATGTTATATAAGGGGGTAGGTGGGGCATATATTAATGCCTTTGTTTAGGATTATTTGCAAGGCAGACCTTACATTTATTTGTAAACTCTTGAGTGCTGGCTGAAATCTTAACACCCTTTTTTGACCTCGTAATTCTGGGAAATGGAGTTTTTCGTTCACATTCCAGTTTGGGGAGTTCCTTCAGTTTGTGGTGGAGCACTGGGTAGTACAGTTTTGAGGTGGGAGAGGATCCATTGTTTTTCCATAGCTTTGAGAAGGAACCCAGACAGAAATGTTTTGTCTTGGGAGCAGTTTAAAGTCCTAGGGGGAGGGGAAAACATTTAAACCCCCTCACATTTAAATTTCAATAGGAGATTAGCATAGCATTTCTTTGCTGATACTTGGAAATTACAGAAGAGATGATGTAGGTGTAGCAGTTCCACCTCCCCCACTAAAGTTTACATAAAAACTGGTTCTGCATTGAGATTTTTTTTTTCATATAGAACTTACAGTTGGTAAAAATATCACCCACTCCGTTTTTTAGCAAAAGCCATCAGATGTATCTAACCTCTGCATTTAATAGGGATGTAGGAGAAAAAAACCACAGTGTTTAAAAATAATGCTAACATGCATAGCCAAAGAGCTGTTCATGGTAGATTATGGGTACGAATGTTTGCATTTGCAGTACATTTGATGTGTGTGTACACTTGGCAGCTCAGGAATAGTCACTGGAAGAAAAGGACTATTCTGACCTACTTATATTCACTTACAAAGTGAATTTTGAAGGACTTGTTACAACCTTATGAAGCCTTAAGAAGAGATTTGGATCATCACAACTGTATGAGGAAGGAGGTGGGGGAAATCACTCCTTGTTAACATGCAAAGTGCATGAGCATTTCATTCTAACTTACCTCCAGTATCCAGAGGACATTGCTGTCTTGCTGTTTCTGGCTGATGTGTTTGAAGTGGTGTATTTGTCAAAGCACGAGTCTCTTGATTCCTTTCACATCATGGAAGATTCATAGCAGGAGTTGGGTAGGAATAGGAGGTGCATTGATAATTAAGTGTCCAATGTTAGCACTGGATTGTATTTTGTAAGACCTTCACAGATTTCAGTCCTTCATGTATTTGCACTAGTTCTGTTCCAAATTAGTTGGCCTGTTGGGAATTCATGGCTTAAATAATCTGTTGGGGAAGTGTAGATTTGTGGAACATTTCAGCCTCTTGTTCAAGATGAGGTAAGCAGTAATTCTTACAGCTCTGTATGTAGTTTGCTTCGAATGAGGTCCCTCTTCTGAGGGGTGAGTGGTCATATTTGTGCTTTTGGTCAGTTGTGACTGTGATGGCCTTTCTACAGCCCCTTGAACTGGACTTACGAAGATACATTTGTTAAAAAAGATGCAAAACAGTAGGAGAGGTTAATTTGGCATCATCTTAAAATAAAGTGTTGTTCTTAGTTTGGTTTTATACAGAGATGTAATCTCAGAGAATTATATCTCTTCCTCTTCTTTCCTCCCATACCAAAAAATGTTGAGCAAAACATTTTAAAGTGGTGCTTTTTTTTCTAGAGAACTGGAGGGGGAAAAAAAAAGTCACTATTTGAGCTGGAATTGAAATTCGGGTCCCAGGATGGAAAAAGATGCAGCTTCTTGACATTTTGAAATTTCAAAAAGAAGATTGCTAATAGAACTGCATACACTGAATACTTGTGTTAATACTGTAAAGCAGCAGTGGTTCTAAAAATACCATTATTTTTGTGGTACAGTTCCCTAAGTCAGCAGCTATTTTCCCCCTTAAATTAGAAAAGCCAAAGTCATTTTCCACAAAATATCTGCCAGCCAAAGTGATAACATACCAGAAAAACCTAATTGATCTCAGTGACCATGAAAAGTCATTTGCTTTCTTTAAA